AACCAATGGAATTTCGTACAGGTGGGTGGTCCCTTAGGGTGTCATCTTTAAAGTCAACAACAAAAGAGAAAAGATTGACTCAATTTTTAAAGCCAAGGAATTTTTGAGACATCAGTTGGGATCAGAGGAAGAATCCAAAGATGAAGAAACCTAATCAAGTGACTCTGCCACCTCTGGAACGGATGAGGACTCTGCTGTAGAAACGGGCGCAGGAGCAACGAAAGTCGCATATGATTTCAGAGACAGAAAACCAAAGTAAAGGCAGAAGGACTCTGAAAATTGTCTTTTGAAGTAAATAACAAGAAGATGCTCAGAAAGTTCTCTCATAACAACTAACATACTAACATTGAAGCTGAGACAAACAAGAACTCTACAAGTATATTGTTGTACTAACACTTTAATCAGTAGCATTTAGTTTAACACGGATATGATCTCCTCCTCTTGGTTTTTTAGTTTAGTGTGGTTATCTTTCCTTTATCCATAGATGTAGTCCCCCTCCCTTATATTTTCTTTGTAGTTTTTTTTTAGTCTTATAAAAATAATAATTTTTTTTTAAAAAGCAGCACTCGTACCATGCGGTCACTCAACGGCAGGATCTTCAGGGCGGAGGGGCGCCTCAATTCTCTGGCTTTCGAAGAGGTCACCCCTCAAAAGCCCCCTGGTTGGGAGCCTTTTACCAAGGATCTTGGGGGGTCACGACCTGTCGGACCCCCTCCCACATGCTGGTGTGCAGTATACATCCCCGGGGCGTCCGGGAGATGTGTCTGCCTGTGTGTCACCATAAACCGGAAGTCCTACTCTGCAAATAATTTTGAGGATAGTGTGTAGGAGAAAGGATGCAGGATATCCTTTATCTTAACAATACTGTCATCATAGACTCAAAATACTTGCTAAGGCAACAAGCTGACTGCACACCACATTTAGCCATTGTCTCCGATTCAGTTTGAAGAAGAATGTCTTTTGAAGGGAAGCCTCATCGGTTAGTATACATGCACATGATTTACACAACACCAGCATTACTTTAATCATATCACCTGTGCAGCTATCTGCACAGCTATTCAATTTCTAAACAATCAGATGGAGTCAAACCAAACTCTTCCAGGCTCTTTCCATGTCCTGTTGGAACTCTTTCCAAAACCCTGCTACCACAGATTGCTGAATGAACATCATTTTTTGAGGGTGAATTGGGCATGCTACAGCTTGCAGAGTCATATTTTGATGTGTAGCCAATGAACTGTGCTTCCTCTGTGCTCCAATAGATATGGAACAGCTCTTTCTCTGGCAGACTATCCCAACACTTCATAATTGCTGTGCTGCATTTTATTACTTCAGCGAAATATAACGCCAGCTGAACCGGCTTAACAAAACATGGGTGGCTTTCTGTTTTTTACCTGCTCATGGTGGGAGAAGATGCGGGAAGAAAAAAAGGAAGGAAGTGATTAGATAAAGATAGCCTAGGCCCATTGGAGATCACAAAATGCAAGCTCCCTGTCAGTTCTGCTTCCACTCCTTATACAGGAAGAGAAATGAAAAAGGCTGAGCAGGCCCATTGAAACAAAAAGCTGTATATCATCCTTGTTCCAAATCACAGTGGCAGAAATCACCCATCAATCAGGATTCCCTCCTCCTCTGAGCAGTACCCATTTTCCACCCAGGTACCAGCAGCATCTTGCAGCACGTTATGTCAACACTAGTGAGGGTAAAGGTAAAGGTTCCCTTGCTCGAAAGCCAGTCGAGTCCAACTCTAGGGTTGCGGTGCTCATTTCTGTTTCAAAGCCGAAGAGCCAGCGCTGTCCGAAGACGTTTCCATGGTCATGTGGCCGGCATGACTAAACATCAAGGCGCACAGAACGCTGTTACCATCCCACCAAAGTGGTACCTATTTATCTACTTGCAATTTCTTGCTTTCGAACTGCTAGGTTGGCAGGAGCTGGAACTAGAGACGGGAGCTCACTCCGTCATGCGGCACATTCGGGTCTCGAACTGCTGAACTACCGACCTTCCACAGCCTGCAGTTCAGCGTCTTAACCACTTGAGCCACCGCAGCTCCTCCTAGTGAGGGTACCATATGGAAATATCTGGTGTGCGCCCAGCCCACTTCCTTTCATACACACTTAAAAATTTTCAGTACTGTGGAACAAATGTCTATCAAGCCAATGATTGGGACACAGTGGGGTGGCTGAATGGGATGGGACAGTGTATGTTGAACTCTGCCTGTGTTTATTTATTTATCTAATTTATACCCCGCCCTCCCCGCTTTACAGCAGGCTTGATGTGTATTATCCCTACAATGGCATGCTTGGAAGCACACAGCTTGTAGTTCTGGAGCAGAACTTTCCCTCTCTCTCTGGCACATGGTTGATCTGAGAAGTGCAGGGGGCATCTAGTCCAGGGGCAATGCTGCTAATCACCCTATGCATTGGGTGCATTACTAATGCCACAAAGTAACATGATCCTTCTGCCTGACTGACCCTTGTATGCGGTTTGGGAAAGTAGTCTCTCTTTAGATTATGGCAGGCTGTTGCTGCTGCACATGTACTTGGGAAGCACTACCATCTTCTCCACATCGTAAGTGCATCTGTTTTTGAGTGCTGTGCTGTACTACCCCCTTTTATACTTTTGCATGGGTCTGCTTCAACTAAGTTAATCCATGTCACTGTTTGAATGTGTGCATTTCATCAATGACCCCTGTGTATAGACCACTGGCTGATGCTGAAGCTGATTATACACTTGTATCTATGCCTCTATGCCTGTCCTGAAACTGCAGGACCGCTCCCCTGCTGTAGGACCCGGCATGATGGGGTGTGTGGAGCCCCAAAGCTGCCCGAACCCCTGGACTCCCCAACCGACCACTGACCTCCCCTGGAGAGCTGCAAGGAAGGCCAGGTTCCAGTGTGGGTGTGGCAGCAAGCAACCTGACCACCAGGGCTGCTGGAGTGAAGGTGGAGCCAATCCCCAAGCTGCCAATTAGCAGAGCCATGCTGGCAGCAGGCCCACTGAGAGAGCTTGGGGGCAACAACCTGAGTGAGCGACACGGTGGCTGAGGCAAAAGGCACCCTAGCAGCAGAGCAGGAGAGCCAGGTCGTGTCTCCATATCGTTGGAGGCCATCCTTCAGGGCCAAGCCCCTCCTGTGGACTGAAGGAATGACAGGGCTGCAATCTCTTGTTCAGGCCATGATGCCCAGCAGAGGTGGGTGCTCTCAGCCCACGCTAAGGGGAAGTCAGAAAGGGTGGAGGAGGCATAAAAGGAGACTTCTTAGAACAAGATGGGGAGAAGTGGGCTGGTGACCTTACATTGTGCAGGACATAGGCTCATTCTATGTGGTACAGAGAGCAGCTACCAGTATCAAAAGTTATAAAGCATTTATTGAAAAGAAAATGTTCACAACCATACTCTTAGAACAGCACCAGACTGACCAAGGGATTCAAAAGAAAAGAGTAAAATACAATTCCTCCCGCTATACATGCCCTAAAAAAAAGGGTAAAGGTTCCCTTGCTCGAAAGCCAGTCGAATCCGACTCTAGGGTTGCGGTGCTCATCTCCATTTCAAAGCCGAAGAGCCAGCGCCGTCCGAAGACATTTCCGTGGTCATGTGGCCGGCATGACTAAACACCAAGGCGCCCGGAACGCTGTTACCTTCCCACTGAAGTGGTACCTATTTATCTACTTGCAATTTCTTGCTTTCGAACTGCTAGGTTGGCAGGAATACATGCCCTAGCAGATGTTAAATAAGTGAGGCTCCTTTGCTTAGAAAGTTACAGATGTTTTACAGGGGTTCCATTACCTTCAAGCCTCTTTCAAGTGTACAGGCCAGCATATGGCAATGGCTGCCTCCATTAACAGGTCTGTCTACCTTGATGGAATCAGCACAAAAGAGCCCTTCCTCCTTGCTCCCTGGAGTTTTATCATTTTCTCTTTCTCCTCCCACTGACCAGGTCAGGCCAGGTCAAGGAAGCTTTTTCCTGAAGTCTCCAGGAGTATAGTACTTAATTCCACCAAATCTCTGTTTCCTAATAGATGGGGGGGGGGCTTGACCATCCCATTGTCTCTTGCTAGACCTATTACCATTTCTAAAAAGGTGGCCAAGGTAAGGTGGGAAAGCAACTGACTTCACCCCTCCTGCCTGTTCTCTGACAAGAGAGAATTTTTTTAAAAAAGCTCAAAGTGGAGTTTTTGCATAGTGTAGCCCCAGCCTTTTTCACAATATGAAATTAGCCTGGCACTCTGGTGATAAAGTCTGGGACCAACAAAGGGAGCAATCCTAAGCATGTCTAGTCCCGTTTTACTCATTGGGGCTTAATCGTAGGAAAGGACTGCAGCTAAAGGTTTCAGGAGGGAGGAAGTGTGAGAAAGTGAATAGTTCTGTGCGAAGTGTCTGAGACATAAGTGTAGGTTACTAGCTTTTTATTGCAACAGCAACATCATCAGAAGCCATCTAAAATGTACTAGATTTTAATTTCTCTTTGTAATAATTGCTTCATCATCATGCAATATTCCATTTCAATGATGAAAGTGGAAAAGCTTGGAACAGTCACTAACCTTTTCTAAGACATTAGTGCAATACCAGTAATGAACATGGAAAGGGTCAAAAACAGGGTCTTGTTCTTTGTTCCTTAGTGTGAGATTCAAAGGTCTAATGTTTGCAATGTTTTCTTCAGAAGAATCCTCACAAGACAGCTGTTCATTCAAATATTCCTTTAAAATAGAAACCCGGTCAAATGAGTATTGTATTCAGCAAAGCCAATTAAACATTTTTCACATATATAAACACAAAATCTAAGTGAGTTTCCTCATCACCTTCTACTCCTACAGTTTTTATATATTTAAACAGGAACTGTGAACTCTCAAAATTCAACGAAAAACATCTGTTCAATGCTTAAATTGGCATTTTATACTTTTGTTAATAGATACACATTTGTGACATGAACTACTTTTTCAATAACTAGCATAATATAATTTTGTTGCTCTATACCTCACTGGAAACAATGGCTAGTAAGAGACATTCAGTTACATATATAGATTATGGAATACAAGTGTTATAAATTAGAAGTTCTCTCTAAACAAATGAGGCAACAATATAATTTGTAATAATTTCTGACGCGATAACTTTGTGAGATAACATGTGGCTGAGATAACATGATTGAGGAATATAGCTTGTTCAATGGGGATATAACTTGTTCAATGGGGAAAAGACGTATAGAACTGCATATAAAAATGCAAACATACACAAAAATACAAGATAATAGAAACATATTTTTTGAGGAACGGTCTTCTTCCTAAGAATACTATATTCCCACATCTCCTTTTTAACTAAAATGATAGCATATGAAAATGCTGTTGTGTCTGAGCTATACTATATAATTATTGTTGCATGTACTTAGCGTGTTTTGACTACAGATTTGTTTGTGATTACACTGGTTGTGTCTGAGCTTACATAGCTGTATGTACTTTTTTCCCATTAAACCCTTGTGCAAATTTATCCATTCTGACAGTTTTAGGAAACTATAAAATCCTACTTCACTTTCAGTACATAGGATGCCACTTTAAATGCAGTGATGCACATCACTGAATTACAGCTAAAGCATCTATGTACAATGGGATCGTCCAGATAACCTGCCAAGTTAAGAAAGGGGGGAAACAAGAGACTCACTAATGTGCATTTTGTGAATGGATGCAATTTTAATAAACTGAAAAGAATTGTCATCGACTCTAAGACCCAAAACTAAGAAATGTCTCTGTTCCAATGTAGAGAACAATTAATCAAGATCTCACACATTGCAAGTCATGGAGATCCCTGTTCTAGAATAAGCCAGTTTGGCTACCACAGTAAAAGGTTCAGCACCATCTGATAATGAGAGGAGGCAAGCAGGGCAGACAGAGCAGAGCAGGGAGACATGGCATCTTAAGAGGAGACATGGCATGAAAAAGGACAAAGGAGACTACAATCCTGATTGGGAGTCTCTGGCTCTACATAAGGTTACCAACTTCCAGATGGGGGCCTGGAGATCTCCTGGAATTACTACTGATTTCCAGACTATAGAGATTAGTTCCCCTAAAGAAAATGGCTGCTTTGGAGGGTAGATTCTATGGCATTATAACCTGCTGAGGTCCTTCCCTTCTCCAAACCCCACCCTCCCCAGGTTCTACCTCCAAATCTCCAGGAATTTCCTAACCTGTAGCTGGCAACCCTACAGCTTTCATAGACAGCTGCAATCAGATAGTACTGGGAAGCCAAGTCTGACTGGTTTAAACTCTTTTTCTGGAACATTTATTCCTATTATGTCCATGGAAATCCAGTTTAATGTCTACAGGAAACAAATAACAACTTGCTGGTGATCCCCGGCCTGAGGGCTGTCTGGCTATTCACAACCAGGTGGAATGCTCTGTCTGATGAGACCCAGGCCCTGCGAGACTTGAAACAGTTTTGCAGAGCAAGACAGAGTTGTTCCACTAGGCATATGGTCTTGGATGAGTGGCGGCCTTCCCGCTATTGTACTTATGTCAATCTGTTTAGTGTGCCATCTGGAATTGTATATTAAATTTAATTTAGCTGGATTTTAAATGTATTTTAAGTATGTGTTGATTTATATGCTGTGATCCGCCCTGTGCCTTACTGTGTAGGAGAGGGTGGGATAAAAATCCAATAAACAAATAAGTAAGCAAACCAATAAATAAATGGAACATATTTTAAGTAATACAAAATTCCAAATTTCATAATTTAGCTTTAGCTAACTATTACAGGCCAAAAAAACTGAAGCAAAAACTAACCATAATGCTAAGCACACATGCATATTTCTAACAGATCTCAAATGCATATTGATTCATTGCAAAATTATGCATAAGAATTTGATGTGTCAGGACAACTTCAGTCCTCATCCAGCTTTACTTGTATTTTCTCAGGAAAAAACAATCAAGCACAAACACAGGAAAACTGCATCCAAAAGAATATGACAAAGAATTTAATCATACATGTTGGTAAAATGATCTTAACTGTTTGGTAGTTTGATTGAGGCATACATTTTAATAATTTTTAATGTACTGTATGTGTACACCTTATTGTTGTATTTCTCTTTTTATGTGTGTGTTATGTGCTGCTTCTGACTTATGGCAACACTAAGGTAGATAAAATAAGTTATTACTTTTAATTTTATTTTCCATAAAGTAAAAGATAACTGATTTTGTGATACCATTAATTTCTGACTGCTTTAACTGCTAACATGTCCTGTGGTCTATGCAATATAACTAGAAGCAAGTTAATGAAGCATGTCACAGTTTACCTCCATGAATAAAAGGCAGATGATTTCCTCTAAAGTAACCTTTTCTAAATAAAAGCAGAAACACTTAAAAACAAGTCTAACAGTGCAATATTGAGTTTTGTATTGACTTTACGAAGCATTATCACCTCCTTGACTAACCCTTAGCTGCCAGCAGACGCTGCCTCAGGCCACTACACACCTAATTGCTCGGTAAAAAAGGCCGTTTCCCTACCTCATTGAGCTGGATGATGTGATAAATTTGCCTCAGGTATTCACTGCCACCTGGTTTGTGGCAGATATCCAGGACCATCATGTTTATTTTCTGCTCAGTCAATTCAAGCTCAATAGCTTCCACTTTTGAGCTTCTATCATCTTCTGCTGCAGTAACAGTACTAGAGGGAATGAAAAAAACAACCCATAAGTATCACAAATAGTCACAAATCACAAACAATAATGCTACTAAAACTCAAGAGTATTAATCCAGAATAGTAATACAAATCTATACAGTCATATTCATAGCTTTGTCTTGAAACAGATAAAATCATGAAAACGTGTCTTTCTCTGTAGTTTAAAATTATGTCTATAGATACTTGAAACTATTGATAAACATTTGTTCCTTCACCAGTATATATTTTCATAATAACAGTAGTAAAAACTGCTTTAATCCAGTTAAACTATAACACTTTATTTTTAAAACAAATCAAGCATACTAACATAAAAAATAAAGTTCATTTTCTGTTAGCATAAAAGTATTTCTGATAAAAAGTATTAATATTCTTTATTTTGTAATATTGTGTTGCCTGTTGCACAATATATGCAATATGAAAACCCAATTAAAGTGCCACAGAAGTAGTGATTTTACTAACTGCTGGCTGGAAAATCAATATCTTAAATGTTCTGCAACAGCCTACTTTTGGATAATTTTATATCACTATTCGCTTTGGAAAAAATTAAGAACTTGTACTTTCAATTTTTGGTTTGAAATTTTTGGTTTTGCCTTCTATTTAAGTTACATTAGTTCATTACTGTATGATTCAGGTCTTGCAGCTTGGCATCTCAAACCACTCAGGTATTTTAAGAACTATGACAACTGACAAGACCACAAATTCATGGGACAATCTTTATGGTAATCATAATAGAACCTACAACTGAAACATTTCTGAATGAAAACAAGTTAACTGAGTGAAATGTAATATAAAAGATTTTAGCAGTAAATTGAAATTCAATATTTAAAATATGCCAATATTACAAATTTTCTCTGGATGATTTATTGATCTGGTCTCTGAAATGCTACGCAGCTGCTGGACAATAGAAACAATGTGGCTTCACAATACAGGCCTTGCTAGACATTACATTATTTTAAAATACTGCAAGTTGCATTTTATTTCTTTGCTGAAGAATAGAAAATATTTTACCTAAGAGATTCACAAGAAAGAGGACACATTTACATCCTTAACATATTTTAAAGCCAGTATAGAGATACAGCTGAATTTTATGTCAAGCTGCTTAGAAGATGACATTGAAAGAGTTGAGGCCATCTGACAAAAGAGTGTATCAGTGTCAGAACCCATACTGTATCCTTTCCTGTCCATCACTGTGCAGGTGAAGCAGATGATTGGATTCAGTCAGTGCTGTGATTAATGAGTTCCTCTCTGGATTTGGGACTGCCTATCAATCATGTCATTAGGGAGAATGTGCCCTGAAAGAGGCAGACCTCAGCCAAGGAATAACTGCATTCATCTTAATCTTTATATGCACCCAGTCAGGCAACTCAGGGTCACCATGATGAAAAATAATAATCTTCAACTCAACAAATTACTTTGCAAAGACAGACATTTCTTTACTTTTTGGGGATGGGTGTTCTCCAGAATATTAGTGGGCAGTTTATAACTTGTGCGTTAACAAAAAAAAAGTGCAGGTTATTTTAATGAATTTTGTAGGTAATATAGAGTCAAGCAATGACTGTAACTGCCATTTTCCTGTTGAGTTTTCTTACTGGTTCCATTTGTTCATCAACATTATTTTATTCAGCCAAAACAATTTACTTGATCAGCATCAATATTTTAGAAGTTATTTTTGTAACTGGTGAATAACTGGAAAACATTATTATAATAGGGAAATATGGATAAGAATACTACTTATTTTAAATTACTCAGTCTGCATCTAAATTGTCCAAGGTACAGAAACTCAGGCAGATATTTTATTACATACATGATAATCATAAAACATTTTAATCAGGGAATGGTCCCACAGCTAGAAATTTACCACTGATTCAAAATTTGTACAGCCATTTAATCAAGTTTGTCACTATCCATTAGAAATATTGTGATTTGTTTAGCAATTGAAATAGTTGGTAATGAACACTTTTCTTAGACAACATTCTGAAAACATCATCTGAATTCCAACTTCATTTCGACTCATTTAGATGAGACATGCTTTATATCTGCACTAGAGGCTTACAGCCAAGTGGTATTTTGGCTGATAAATAGCTACGCACTGTGGGGGAATACCCCCCCCCCCGCTGTCTTTTTTGGTTACCTCCACTTGGCTCTATTCATATGTTGGTTGTGGCAACTCTCATGCAATAGATGAAAAGGTCATGAATCTGAAAAAAATGTGAACCACCCCATTCATATAATAACATGCATGCATGTGGATGTCTTGGTTGCATGACTCCCCAGCACCCAAGAATGAACTGGGCTTCCATGTAAACAGAAAAAGATGAGTGGGAAACCAAGATCATGTGGGGAAGAAGGAGAGTGGAGGGCTGTTGCTTGCACAGCCAACATATAAATTAAAGCTCAGTCTCCCTTACTCACCTCTCCTCTCTCTCTCTCCATGTAATTTCCTTGCTAATCTCACTGTTCACTGCAAATCCTCATTACCACAAGTGTAATACATTATCAGACTATGGCCTCAATCCAAGGTTAGATAAACTTGCATTCTTCTGCAATCTATGCCACTTAAGTTAGTTATTACTAACTTTAGTTGGATCAGCGCCTATATGTTTAATTATAATGATGCAGCATACCTTTCTGAAAGGAATTTCTATATTGTATAATGGGAACTTCTCTACTTATGTGTAAAATTATCCAAAATATCTTTCAAATTAAATATTTAAAATTGTAATAAAAGACCACAAGATTTTCAATACTATGTTTCATTTAATGGGTGTTTTAGATTAAAAAAATAGTATATGACATCTGATTAATATTATTGTAAATTCCTGTTGTAAAATAAAGAGTAGAATCTACCAGTCACACACGACTGATTCGATTCTGTTTAAAAAGCCTTCCAATTCCAGTGAAGTTACAACCTGAATTATATTACTATCGATACCATTTTTCTTTATCATTATGATCATGAGTGGCATCCAGTGTATGACTCAGTTTTGTAATATTATCTTCCCTGTTTCAATTCTGATGTCATGAGTAAGTTTGTTCAACAAGCTGTAGGAACAACTGTGAACAGCAAACACATGAACTTGTCATACTGAGACCCTTGCTCCACTAGTGTAGTATTGTCTGCTCTGACTGGCTGCAGGTGTCCAAAGTCTCAGGCAGAGGTCTGCCCCAGGGTGAAAATTCTTAAATGCATTCAACTTTTTGCAAAATATTCTTGTGTTTGAATCTTGGGGTAAAAAGTGAAAAGGTTCATACTTTCTTCAATCAGAAATGGCTGGATGCCTCTTTTTTTTTTGTTACTCCAAAATGTTCCAATTCTCCTCTGAATATGTTGTGGTTCAAAATTCAATGTGCTTACTTGTTTTTAATCACAGAAGACCAGAAAATGTCCTTTATGTACATATATCCTCTTTAATTTAATCTCCATAGCAAAATCCATTACCAGTATATATGTAATGACAGTTCAAACATACAGTGGGGGAAAACACAATTTTCCTGGTTTTATCTTAATAATCAGATTTCTGTGGGAATTTAGTACTTGCTATTAGAAATATTTTACTATAAAATGTTTTATTATGAAACATGTTGTGATTACAGCAATGAGTGACAGGGAAAAAAGGAAATTATTATACCTCCTTACCAGTCTATGCTTAGTTTTCTTGCCCTTAGTAACTGGTTTTCAATCCAGTTTGGTCTTTGCTGTTCAATGCTCCATATAATCTTCTGTGTCACTTGTTTAGGGCTACTTTTCTTTTTCCCCATAATGCTTTCCAAACATACACGAACCAAACTAAGCTTCTCTTTGCTCCATCTGTCAAGTGTTGTACCGATTAAAAGTTCTGTGGTGTTTCCATCCTCAAATATCCGACATATAATTACAATCAGGATCCAGACAAGAAGACCAGCTTTTTTTGATTCAATGCAAGTTTTTGGCATTTTTCTCTCAGACAGAAAAAAGAAATACTTAATTGGAGGAGGCAAACATGCAATCACCGTAGGTAGCTTGCTGATTACAATAGAAACTGCCTGAGCAGCAAGCCTTGTGAAGCCTTTAAAAAAATGAAAGATGGTATGATTAATACTAAACACTGTTGTTTTGAGCACTGTCAATGTCTAATTTTAGAAGTGACTGAGATGCATCATCTATTGTGGCAAAGGAGCAAGCTCTCTTCTCTGTCCCTTCCACTATGTAGGTAATGCCTGGTCATATAGAGACCTGATTTATATGTATCTCCACTTCTTTTTTTGAGGTGGAACAACCCCACAACCTGGTTCCCCATGTGAACAGGTATTTGTCTGGAGTGTCCAGTTCATTGTAACCTGACCCAGCTGGGAAACGGCTCTGACATGCGACCGAGACTTCATCATAAAGCTTCCTGCAATGCCTTACAATCATGTAGGACTGCAGCGCGACAGAGCCGAAAAGGACGCAGCCTTGTGAAGCCTTTAAAAAAATGAAAGATGGTATGATTAATACTAAACACTGTTGTTTTGAGCACTGTCAATGTCTAATTTTAGAAGTGACTGAGATGCATCATCTATTGTGGCAAAGGAGCAAGCTCTCTTCTCTGTCCCTTCCACTATGTAGGTAATGCCTGGTCATATAGAGACCTGATTTATATGTATCTCCACTTCTTTTTTTGAGGTGGAACAACCCCACAACCTGGTTCCCCATGTGAACAGGTATTTGTCTGGAGTGTCCAGTTCACTTTAGATATCTATGTGGTGTATAGATACTGAGCTTGCTCCTTCTATATAGAGGACAACACCAAGCACCAGTTCAAGACAATGTACAAACCAGGATATATACATCTTGTATTAGAAAGGTTGTTGTACCTGCCATTGAGAGACATGAGTCCCTGCTAAACCATAGACCTCACAATGCAGCCTGGGGCAATTCACTATCCCTTAGTCTAACCTACTTATCACCCCATAGTATAACTATTGAATACTATAATTAACTACTTAGCAAGTCTTGAAATTAAATTGAACACAGAAGCTAGGATCCAAACAGCTAACCTATGCACTTCAAGGGGCTTGCTCATGTCCCTTGGGATACAGCTCAGTGAATCTCCCACTTCATTGGAGAATGTGAGTAGGGGCCATGGCTCAGAAAGAGTATCTGCCTTGCAGGCCGAAAGTCCCAAGCTCAATACCAAGCAGCTCCAGTTAAAGAGGATCTGGTAGTATGTGATGTGAAAGGACCTGTACCGAAGACTACTAAAGAACTGTTGTCAGTCAGAACAGACAGTAATGATATACCAATGGTCTGTCTTAGTGTACAGCAGCTTCATGTGTTTAATCTAAAGATATGGCGTAAACCTCCATTTTGCAACTTGATCATTATCACAAAATGATTCCCCCTCATGCTGTCTCTTTTGCTCCCTACACTATTCTGTCATTTCAGGCAGAAATTACCTCCACATTAAGGCCCCTTTCACAAAAGGATAAAAAAGGAATATAAAGTCAATATTTTTCCATTTAAATAAGTTTAAAACTATATCCTTTATACATAAGACTAATGAAACATTTAAATTTGCGTATGAAAGTTTTGGACACTTTGCTACTGTTTTGAACAACTTGTTTTAGGAACTAGAGAAAAAGGTTACAAGCCAAGTTATAAATGTCTGTATTACAAAACTATGACAAAGTACACTCTAAGATTACAGCCCCAACATTAACTATAAATTAAACTTGTGAGAACATATTTATGCTCAACAAAATCTAAACACTAACAGCAATCTGTTTAATAAACTGTAAAAAGGGAGAAAGGAAGACAGGTTGCTGTTTTAATAATTGGAGACCTTTGACTATCACTAGTATGTTTTATCCTTTTTACCACAGATGATGATATGATTAAATGATTAAAAATCTAACATAAATGAGTTATCATTCCTCAGAGTGAACATGATGGTTCTGTGATAACCAGTGGAGCAGTGAAAAAAGAAACTTGCCACCAGAAGAACCCTGAGGCATGAAGATAGGCAAATATTAGTTTTTAATCTTTTTTTAATGAAAGCCCTGCCACATAAATGACGCAGTGAAGACTGAATCATTCCCCCCCAGGAGGTTTAGAACCAAGCCAGACATCATGGCAGTCATGGGTCTGAACCTTGGCTGTTGCAAATTTTTATAAGAATTTGGCCATCTAAAGAGACATTTAAAGATGCCTCAAGGGCAATCTCGATTGTCCACCACATGCCTTTTCAAGTGCTTCTGAAGCTAAACAGCGTATCTGGCTTCTCCTCTTTACTTTCCTTCATATGTGTGAATGCTTCAATACTATGGGGGGAAAGTTCTATATTTGGGATCACCAGAGCAGTGGGAGCAAAACCTGCTCGAGACTACATACCTTGGTATTCCATGCAAGGGATTCTAGGTGGGTGAGTGGGGAAAAGATTGCATCTCTTCTAGTGCTGCACATAGGATATGAATTCTGCCTCCTATGTGCCCTGTCGAAAAGTCCTTGCTTCCCCCCACCATTACAAACACAGGCATTTTGTTAATTACTTAGTAAATATGCTAACAATTCCATCAAAATTCCAGGAATTATCTTACTATTTATTTATTATTCAAATTTGTACCCTGTCCTCCCCGCAATGCAGGCTCATTACTAGAGTTGTTAAATCATACCATTTAACTCTAATTCTTCTATTTTTATGTTTTCATTAAATGGGTAACCATTATTTTGAGAGGTTTATGTAAGAACACACATACATTTCCCAGATTCTTTTCTCTTCATTTCTCTAGGGGTATAATTCCATTCCTTTGGAACAGTCTTCAACAAACTTTCAGGAACTATTTGCTTGTGTTGATAGGTTCCATAGTTCTCTGTTGCTTCCCATGAATGCATCAAAGAAATTATCTGCTTCACTATACCCTTAACTGAATTCATCAGAATCAGCTTCAAACATCTCATTACCTCCGGTTCTGATTCAGCACAACTAGAAACTTTGGAGGCAAAATAAAAGAGACATTAACTAAGTTGAACAATGAAGAGAGCAATCCCAAGCAGGTCTACTCAGAATCCTATTCAGATCTATTCAGTGGGGAAACTGTCCTTAGGATTGTACTGTTAAGTTTTCATACTTTTTAAAATTTCATTTCTATAAATATTAACATAAACAAAATGAAGAATCTAACATTACAGAAAAAATACAAAGAAATCTATGCAGAACAAAAAACACATAAAGCACTGCATCATGCATCACTTTTTCTATTACAGAACAGAGGAATACAAACATTTAAATCTAGATATAACTTTTGTTGCCAAGATATCAGGAAAAGTTGCCATGTTATTGAAAAACAGGTTCCTTACCTGTAACTGATGATCTTCAAGTGGTCATCTATGCATTCACACTTATGGCTTACAGGTCTGCGCCGGCTCCAATTTGGGAAACTTCTATCAAGTTCGAAAGGATTTGGAGCCCGGCCTCCAAGCATGCACGGAGACCCCAACCACGCATGCCCAGAGGGTGGGGCCCCAGTATCCCACCAATCCCTTCTGACCGCTGCCAACCGAATGGAGAACAAACCAAAGAAGCTGACAGCAGTGGGGAAGGAAGGTGGGTGGTGTGAATGCATAGAAGACCACTCAAAGATCATCAGTTATAGGTAAGCAACCTGTTTATCTTCGTCATGGTCTCTATGCAATACACCTATGGGAGAACAGCAAGTTTAGGCCTACCTGGAGGAGGGTGCTGGCAGCATCTCAGGAGATCACAGATTGCAGGATTGATTGGCCCATGATGGAATGACATTGTGCATGCTCATCCACAGTGTAATGCTTGATAAACATGTTTGGAGTGGCCACGAAGCTACCTGGCAGATGTCTTGAAGGGACACTCCTTTGAGGAAAGCCGTGGAAGTCAATATTGCATGTATGGAGTGAGCCTGAGGCCGAACAAGCAGTGGCCTTTTATTCAGAAGGAAGCATAGTTTTATGGTCTTGACAATCCATATGAGATCTTCTGGCCTAAAGAATGCGTTGCATAGGACAGAAACAACTGTGGGTCCTTGCGGATCTTGCGTGTTCTATCCCGAAAGAATAAGAGTGCCTGCTTGACATCCAGCATGTGTCACAGATGCTCAATGTCCAAAGTAGGGTTTGGAAAAAAGTCAGGTAGAATAACCCTTCAGATGCGCTTCCCATATGGACCCCACACAAAGGCCATTGAGGTGCACCCCCTTCTCTTTTTCTGCAGGACAGACTGCCTCTATGGCTCCTTTTTCTAGTAGTCATAGAACTTCCTGATGGAGGGCCAACGATGTTGCAGTCAGAACGAAGACAGCAGTGGGGGGCATCTGAACCCACTCTATTGCATAGCCCTTGCTGATGATGGAGAGCACCCAGGCATCCGATGTTATATGGCTCCATGCGGGGAAGAAAGAGCCAAGCCAGGTGGCCCAGGGCAATAAGAGGGGGCAGGAAGAGGGAGTCGGTGGCTGCTGGGGGAGTCAAAGACCCTGTTTAGCATTCTTAGTCGTCTTGAGCTTGCCATTGCTTCTCGGCCTTTTGGCTAAGAAGTGTAAGCATTAGCTATATAAAGTCTTGAGCTTACCTTGATGAGGACCCTGATGGAACTTGAGTTTCTGAGAGTAAGTGGATCTAGACGAAGATTGAGAGTGTCTAGACTTCCAAGAGTTATCTGGAGACTGTCTTATATGGTCTCCTGGTCTTGGATCATTGTGACTGGTATGAGGGGGAGACTCCCAAATTCTGAGACACTTTGTGACTCTTGTCCATCTTCTCCAGAATCAAGTCAGTAGTGGAGTGAAAGAGACCCTGCCCATCAAATGGCAAGTCTTCAATGAGGGCTTGGGTGTCCGTCTGAAGAGATGTGGTGTGAAGCCAGGAGTGACAGCAGAGCACATGGTGGATGACATGGTTTTGGAGCTGGTATCCAGGCTGTGTTTTGCAGAATTAATTACATGCTAACCAGGTAGAGCCTCCAGCCCTGATGGACTCCCTGTCGAACTTTTCAAGAAATTTGCTGATTGGTGGACCCCTCTATTAGCCAAGCTATTCATATCTATTGATCAGTATGATGTTCTCCCAAATTCATGGTTAAATTCAATCATAATCCCAATTTACAAGAAGGGCGATCCTAATTTACCTGGAAACTTTCGCCCTAACAGCCTTTTATCAATCATGGGAAAATTATATGCAAAGCACCTAGAACACCGCTTACTTGATTGGGTCCACTCTAATGCCATCATAGGGCCAGAACAAATTGGCTTCTCCAAAAATAAATCAACCCTTGATCATTGTTGGATTCTTTCTAGCCTAGCCACAAAATATATGAAACTAGGTAATAAAAAACTTTGTGGCCTTCATCGACTTAAAAAGTGCCTTCAATTCTATCTCAAGAGAAAAACTATGGGATAAACTGCTCAAACTAGGAATTGACTTACACCTCCTATTCCTTCTAAAAAAATTATACACAGCCACAACAAGTCAAGTTGAGTACTCTCCAAATGATAGGCTGACCAATAAAATTCCATCTAAGAAAGGTGTTAAACAAGGATGTGTCCTTGCCCCCCTTCTTTTTAACCTATTTCTTTCTGATTTGACACGCTCATTTGAGCTTGTGAACGGTCATCCACCAAAACTAGGAGGCAAATAAGTACCCATCCTTTTATACGCAGATTATACTGCTATTTTATTTTTCACTAAAATTGGACTTCAAAGATATCTAGAAGCCTTTAACAACTATTGACACTCAAATCTACTTAAAATCAACTATACCAAGACAAATGTGGTAGTATTTTCAAAAAAATGGGTTCCCTATAATTGGCACATTGGAAATGTCAGAATTCAACAAGTTAAAAGTTATAAATATCTTGGTGTAACCTACAACTATAATCTCAGTTGGGCAACTCATAGAAGTAGGACTGTAAAACTAGTGAGGATCTCTCTAAACCAACTTATATCCTTCTTCTTTACTAATGGCAATCAGTATGTCCCTGCTGCGATCAGAGTATTTAACTCTAAGATTCTATCTCAGGTCCTGTTTGGAATCCCTATTTGGTTCACTGCCCTTAACCATGATGTGGAGAATATCCAAGTGATCTTTCTTAGACAAATAATGGGTGTCCCCAAATGCGTGCCTTACTTTACAATCTGCTCTGAAGTTGCCCAAAATTTGATTGAGACCAAGGCCTGGATCTTAACGACATGCCACTGGCTCAGGATCTACTTCAGAGCTGAGCCGGGCTCCCTTTTATTTATTTATTTTGCTTAAAGAACTGCATAATTCCTCCTAGGATTCTATAATTATATCTAAAAAGTCAACTTGGTGTTCCTCTTGAAGACCTAACCCTAACCAATGAGCCTCATATTTTTAAACTAATCAAACAACGATTCTTAGATATTGATCTGCAAAAGTTATACCCTACCCAACCTCATATCTGTTCCCCTCCCATGCTCGGCCTCTCTAACCATTTAGGCAAGATGCCCCAATATTTTTACAATCTCGATATCCCTCTTCATCGCAGAGCTTTTCTTCTGGCCAGTGTTAATGCATTTCCCTCTAGAATACTCTATGGCAGATATTATCAAATCCCAAGACGAGAACGGCTGTGCCCCTGTGATCTTAACTCCCTGGACACGATTGAGCATATAATTGTCGAATGCCCCCTGTATGAGCTACCTTGCCGAAAATTCCTTCTAATTTGGCTTCATCCTAAAAGTTATTTGAGTAACAAGTTAAAATGTCAACTTCTCTTGAATGATTCGATTCCTGAGATCACTAATGATGTTGCCAAGTTTCTTACCGAAATTCTTAAAGTACAAAATTTTAGATAGTACTATTTTGATTGTTCCAAATTAGTATTGAATCTTAGATTTTAATTTTACGATACAATGTTTTATATACCTTATGACTAATGATATGCCAATAAAGGTCTATGAATGAATGAAGGATTACCTGCTTAGTAAGTATCATGCCTTCCTTCTGTATTCTCCTGGCCTCATCATGATGTTATGCAGGGAGGAGTGCCAGAAGGGGCGACATTTGCTCCCACAGAGAATATTCGTAGTGACCCATACATTCAATATAATTTGCTGTCTTATCATCTAGGGTGCCTGCGGAATAAAATCGCCTCCCAAATGCATCCATCTTTTCCCTCTCCCTGTCGGATGGTGTAGAATGTGTCTTCCCGCTCTTATTAGAAAGGGTGACCACCATAGAATTAGGTTTTGGGTGGGAACAAAGGAATTCTGCTCCTACCTCCTGGATCTTGTATATATGGTCCAATCTTCTGGTAGACACCGGGGTAGACATAGGCTTGTCCCAGTGGGACTTGCCTGCCTGAAGTAGGACCTTAGCCATAGGGAGGGCAACCGCTGTCGAGGTGTCCAACTGTATAATGTCAAAACTGTGTCAGTGACCTGGAGCTGGGGTTGGGAAAAAGCAATTCCCAATTATTGAGCCATTTGTTTGATTAGATCCCCATAACAGCGGAGATCCTCTGAAGGAGAGATAGGCAGATCTTCAGCAACTTGTTGGCTAGAAGGACCTGAAGGGGTAGCTGGTGCTCCAGAATTGTCCTCATCCGAGTTGCTTCCTGTGGAGTGAGACAACTCATCCACTCCCAACAAGGCATGTGGAGAGTTGACCTGCATCGGGGGTGCCGGTGAACCACTGACCGTGGTTGAGTTATTGTCGAGCTCGATGCAATCGGTCTCGGTAACTTTCCAGTTGGAGGGGCCATCGGTATCAATGTGTTCTCTGGAGCCTTACGAGGGATCTGTGTTGGTGTAGCACAATCCTGTACAGGAGAGCGGACACAGTGGGAAATGCTTGAGCGCTGGACCCAGTCCATCGACTTACTCTGGTTCAACCAGGGGAGTGTTGTAGCCAATGAAAATGCACTATAGAGATATTGAAGCTGGCGGATTGAGGCCGCTGGTGATCGATTGTGAGATCGCAGAGAAGGGCTGCTGTGGCTGGAGGAAGAGCAGATCCACCAGCACCAAACCTGTGTCGGAGTAGATGACTGGTATCGATGGGTGACCAGGAGCGAGAAATTGAGGATCTGGAGCTCCAATGAGATGGTAATTGGTGGGAAGGTATCTCCTCCACACCTGATCCCGAAAAGGAGAGATCTCCCAGTACCAGTTTGCACATCGGAGAGCCCGGTAGTTGAATCGGTGAGTCTAGCAGCGTGATAGGTGGTATCTGCGGAACCGTCGACAAATCCAGTGAGACAGAGCAAAACAGGGGAACATCAGCCTGCATGTTAGAGCTCTGTGCTGCACTCACTGAAGTGGACTTTGAGCCAGTCTTAAGGTGCTTGTGCTTCACCTTAGTATGGCCCTTTGCCTCCTTCTTCTGAGAAGCCGGTGTCAAGGATACCAATGGGGTGGACGGTGCTGACGGGCTCGATCCCGACGGCCCAGCAATGGGGGAGGCGGTGTCTGACATCTCCGATGATTGGAGCTGTTCTTTCGGCGTCGATCGGTGCTGATCCGTCGGTGCCAACCAGGGTCGATCATCCAATGCTGATTTTGGGGTTACCTCTGTCAGAGTGGAAGTCATCGCCCCAGGATGCAGTGCAGATTCCAGAAGAGCCACTTGGAGCCTGGCAGCCCTGTTCTTCCGCATCTGATTAGAAAACTGGAATCTGTCCTGTGCACCTTACCCAGGCAGAGCAAGCACAAAGCACAAAGAGTGGCTGTGGGGGTTGTGCTAGGAGATTATAAAATTACTATTCAACATGTTTCCCGTTTCTCCTCTTGAACAAACAAGTTCTCATGGGTAGTTTGATCTGGGTGCGGTGCCATCCTAATACCACTTCCCAAGACTAAGCCCCATTGAATAGACCTGAGTAGAATTCTGCAGATCTGCTTACGATTGCTCTCAAAATTAAGTATTTAACAATGCAAGCCACCTAAGAAATACAAAATTTGTGTGTTGTTAAAACATCAAAAATCACCATGATACTTGATAATTATCACAATATTATTATGCTACTTGGTAAAAATAATAGAAAAAGGTCTATAATAGAAGGTACCTTTTAAAGAAAAGACAAAAGAAAAGGGGGGGAAAATTGCTTGGGCTTTGTTTCAGTCCATTGCTGCTTCAGCATTACTTTCCCAGATAAAACTAAGTAGGGGTCTATGGGGATATGGAAGGATGCACTGGTCACTTATTTTAATAGCAGCATCAATATGCATATTATCTATCAATATTAACTGTTCCAAGATACCAGCATGCATTTATGTTGGCTAAATTTAACATGCTATGATCTGCACTGCTGATATATAGATACAAAAACATTCCATCCAGTTGTAGATTTTGTTCTCTTTCTGCTAACCTGATTGAAATATTGGTTTATGTGTTTTCCCACTGTAAATTCTATGTACAAGCAGACTTGGATTTATTAGTACCTATGCTGATTGACCAAAAACTGTTCTCTGAGCAGAAGACTATCTAAATCTTATTGGTGGGGGTTGACCAAAGAACTACTGTATCTGTAACTAAGTTTCTGTTCTATGCAATGAAAATATGGGCTGAGATAACATTCTGTGTATAATCTACTTAAATTCCAACCCTTACACTATAAGATATACTTGGATGAATGATGTACACTGGGGCTTTATGTAGGTAATTAACTCTATAATAGTGCTTTTTCTGCTTCTGAATGGCCTGTGGACCATAATAAAGACTGACTGAATTTACTTAACAGTTTGGCATAGTGCTTTTGTATCCATTACGAAAGAAGGGCACCTGTAGAGGACTAACCTGGAACTTTATAAAACACTAAATTTTAATCCATAAATATCCAATACGAAGTCCATATGGAAGATGGCAAAAATACAGAATGTTAATTTCATACATAAATTAACAACAAACTTAATTCTTACAGAAGGATTTTTCAGGGGGGGAAACAATTAAATATTACAGTACCTGACTAGGAGGGGATTACAGCAAATTTAATGTGTTACAGGGGAGGAAAAGATAGGTTTAAGATACTTTCAGAGTACTTTTCCAAGAGTATCACCCTCAAGAAGCCAGGCAAACTATCATATTCCATCCCCAATTTTCTTTTGTCCATTTACAAGTACCATACTTGTGGGGTGACCCCCCACCCAGAACTGGCCTCTCACATTGAAAACAGGATGTCCTGTACTCCACATTACAGCTATGAACACTCCACTACTTAACATTGCCACAATTTATCTTGATTTGACAGGAGGGAGGTTAGCAATATTCCTTAAATAAATCTCCAGGACACTTCTAACATTATGTGATTTAAGATGCTGTATGCTTGCTGACATACTGTATCAACATCCCAAGAAGACTAAATCTATATAAACACATGTACATTTCACCATGTTTTTTATACCTGACATGTTGTGCAAACAATCCCACATCTTCTCTTTTTCCATGAAGTTTTCAAGAACAACACCAAGTGATGTGGGAGATAAAGTGCAATAAGACAGTACTGTAAATATTGCTTCAGTTAAACTTGGATTGTTGGTTTTTTTCTCATCAGGGCAAGTACTTTGTTCTCCACATTCAAACAATTCTGATTCTTCAAAACGGAAAAAAAGGAAAACAGTCAAGCCATAATCCAATACACAAGTATGCATCATCCAATGGGGAACTGTCAGCCACCTGGCTTTTATTGCGGCTACTTATTTCATTGGAAAAAAAATACAGGTAGCCCATGGAACAGATAACTCTGTGGGAACACTGAAATACGAAATGATGGGAAGAGTTTATGCCACCTACCCTCAGTGTAGGTGAAATCTGGTGGTATCTCAGAAATGTACAATGTATGTAGCTTTACTAAGAAATACCACAAATCTCATAAACCTCTTTTTTCACTTCCCTCACAATTTCACAGAGAAATTTCCAAGTTCACTTAGAATTTCACTTTCTTTATTTCATTTGATTTTTATCTCACCCCTTCTCCAGCAATCGGGTTATGTGGAGGCTAACAACATAAATACAAAACAAATAAAATACTAATATTCTATATTGGTTTGGTATAGTGGTTAAGAGCGGTGGACTCTAATCTGGAGAATCGGGTTTGATTCCCTACTCCTCCCCAAACAGCCAGCTGGGTGACCTTGGGTTGGTTACAGGTCTTTCAGAGCTGTTATCTCAAGAGCAGTTCTCTCAGAGCTTTCCCAGCCCCACCTACCTCACAGGGTGACTGTTGTGGGGAGAGGAAGGAAAAGAGATTGTAAGCTGCTCTGAGACTCCAAGTGAACGGCAGGGTATAAATCCAACTGTTCTTTTTCTTTTTCTATAAAACAGTTTAACACACTGGCATTCCACCATGATGATCAGAGAAGCTGACAGTAGGCCCAATGAGACTGCCTCAATGGAATGTCTGGAGGAATAATTCCATCTTACAGGCCCTGTGGAACCTAGATAGGTCCCGCAGGGCATGAGTCTCTTCAGACAGAGCATTCCACTAGGTTGGGGCCATGATCAAAAACCCCTTTGTTCTAGTCAGAGTTAAACCAGCTATAGGAAGGCCAGGCACCACCAGAAGTCCATGTAAGGCCGAACGCAAACTCCACAAGGCATGATAATGGAAGGGGTGGTACTTAAGATGGTGGTAGCCACTAGGTATAAATAGGTGCTCTGGGGCAAGTGATGCTCTGTCTTCTTGGTGCTTGGGGGGGTCAACAGTGGGAGGGCTTCTAATGTCCTGGCCCCACTGATGGACCTCCTGATGGCACCTGGTATTTTCAGCCACTGTGTGACAGAGTGTTGGACTGGATGGGCCTTTGGCCTGATCCAACATTGGTGTCTCTTATGTTCTTATGGTACTTTGCATATACCAAAAAACATTAAACTTTCTTCAAATACATTAGAAGTAGGATCAGTGGATGATAGGGAAATGGCTGAGAAGCTGAATGCATTTTTTTTGCCTCTGTCTTCATTGTTGAAAATGGGAAGTGCTTGCCCACTCTAGAACCACTGATTTCAGGAGAAGTGTTGAAAGACCTGAGTCAGATTGAGGTGATGAGAGTAGAGGTCCTATGGCTGATAGACAACTTAAAAACTAATAAATCACCAGGCCCGGATGGCATACATCCAAGAGTTCTGAAAGAACTCAAATGTGAATTTGTGGATCTCCTGACAAAAATATGTAATCTTTCCTTAAAATCTGCCTCCATTCCCGAGGACTGGAAGGTAGCTAATGTCACTCCCATCCTTAAAAAAGGTTCCAGAGGAGATCCGGCAAATTACAGGCCAGTCAGTCTGACGTCGATCCCAGGTAAGCTGGTGGAAACCGTTATTAAGGAAAGAATTCGTAGGCACACTGATGAACGAAAACTATTGAGGCAGACTCAGCATGAGCTGTAAGGGAAGATCTTGCCTCACTAACCTGTTAGTGTTCTTTGAGGGAGTGAACAAACATGTGGACAAGGGAGGAGGAGGAGATTGGATTTATACCCTGCCCTTCACTACCAAAAGGTGTCTCAGAGCGGCTTACAAACTCCTTTCCCTTCCCCACAACAGACACCCTGTGAGGTAGGTGGAGCTGGAGAACTCTTGAAAGAAACTGCTCTTTTTCAAGAACAGCTGTGCTAGAGTTATGGCTTGCCCAAGGTCATCCAGCCAGGTGCAAGTGGAGGAGTGGGGAATCAAACCCGGTTCTCCCAGATTAGATTTCTCAGTGGAGGGTGGTAAGCAGTGGGGTACCGCAGGGATTAGTACTCAGTCCGATGCTTTTTAACTTGTTCATTAATAATTTGGAGTTGGGAGTAAGCAGTGAAGTGGCTAAATTTGTGGATTATATGAACCAGGGAGGATTGTGAGGCACTCCAAAGGGATCTGTCAAGGATGGGCAAGTGGGTGTCAATGTGGCAGATGGGGTTCAATGTGGCCAAGTGCAAGGTGATGCACATTGGAGCCAAAAATCCTAACTATAAATACACATTGATGGGGTCCGAACTGGCAGAGACTGGCCAAGAGAGAGATCTTGGAGTCGTAGTAGATAACTCACTGAAAATGTCAAGACAGTGTGTGACTGCAATGAAAAACGTCAACGTTATGCTGGGGATTGTTAAGAAGGGAACTGAAAACAAATCAAGTATCATAATGCCCCTGTATAAATCGATGGTGCAACCTCATTTGGAATGCTGTGTGCAATTCTGGTCACCACACCTCAGAAAGGATATTATAGCATTGGAAAAAGTGCAGCAAAGGGCAACTAGAATGATAAAAGGTTTGGAACACTTTCCCTCTGAAGAAAGGTTAAAACGCTTAAGAATATAAGAGACGCCAATGTTGGATCAGGCCAAAGGCCCATCCAGTCCAACACTTGCCCCAGAGCCCCTATCTATACCTTGTGGTAGCTAATAGCCACTAATGGACCTCTGCTCTGCTTGGGGCTCTTTAGCTTGGAGAAATGACAGCTGAGGGGTGACATGATCAAGGCTTATAAGATCATGTATGGGATTGAGAAAGAAGTACTTTTCTCCCTTTCTCAGAATACAAGAACTCGTGGGCACTCAATGAAATTGCTGAGCAATTGGGTTAGAACAGACAAAACGAAGTACTTCTTCACCCAAAGAGTGATTAACACATGGAATTCACTGCCACAGGAGGTGGTGGCGGCTACAAGCATGGACAGCTTCAAGAGGGAATTAGATAAACATATGGAGCAGAGGTCCATCAGTGGCTATTAGCCACAAGGTATAGATAGGAACTCTCGGTCTGGGGCAAGTGATGCACTGTAATCTTGGTGCTTGGGGGTGGGGCAACAGTGGGAGGCTTGTAGTGTCCTGGCCCCACTGTTGGACCTCCTGATGGCACCTGGTATTTTTGGCCACTGTGTGACAGAGTGCTGGACTGGATGGGCCATTGGCCTGATCCAACATCAGCTTCTCTTACGTTCTTATGATGGTCCCAGACCATTTAGGGCTTTAAAGGTTAGAATCAACATCTTGAATTTGACCCAGAAACCAATCAGAAGCCAGTGCAGCTGCTTCAAAATAAACTGGATATGTGCAGACCATGATGTATCAGTCAACAGCCTGGCAGCCGCATTCTGGACAATCTGAAGTTGAGTAGGATCCTATTTCAGCAGCAGCTCTTAAGTATAACTCTTTAGCATCAGCACCAATGTTTGTACCATTTTCATTTTACAAAAGCTTTAAAATTACTTTTTAAAATGTCCTTAGCAGGAAATTGCTTTCTGTAGTATCACTGCAACAGGACATCCTCATCTAGCATTTTAAATGTCATTACGTGGCAAACACCAGCAAGGTTTTCTACATCCCCTTGCAATAGTAGCATGCCAATACGTAACACCTTTCCTTCTTGAGTACTTACACAGACGTTTCCATAAATCTCTGACACCTAGGGCATGGTCTAAAAGCACATGACACATCAACCTTGCTACGGTAAGCAAGTTTGTGTCTGATCACTGCCTGAACGGGGACTGCCTTAGAACCCTATGTGAGCCTCCTTGGATGTGAGATGTGAACATAATAGAGAAATACTTCTGTAACAGCAACAACAATAATAAAAGAGGACAACAGCTATTATAACTGAGATGCAGACCAGCCTTTGAGGCAAAAGGAGCCAGCTCATGGAGGAAAAATCCATTTTTATCAGGATGGGACAGCTTTTGCCAGGTGTTGCAATTAATAGTCTGAAATAATGAGATTCTGTCTGGAATAGCAGACTGGCTCCAATTAACTGATAAGGGCCAAGGTCAATATAACCCAGAATATTCCAAAAACTTCCTCTTTACAACCCCCTCACCAAAAGGAAACACTTTCTTCCCAATATGATTAATAGCTGTTGCTGGAAAAGGAAAAGATCTCAGAGTGGTGGAGGCCCTACACATCCAATGTGCTAGGCCAGTGAAACTTGGATACATACACAATCTTTGAAGCTAATCATAAGAAACACAAGCACCTTCATGGCTTGCGTCTCCACCAGTGGAGGCGGGTTCTGGAATACCCAACACTATGTTGACTTGAGTCTTTAGAAACTATTTTAATAAACAGTCTTCATGATGCTAAAATGATCAATCTATGTTTGTGTGGGTTAAACACTATTTTACTTTGTTATTATCCACCTTCAGCAGTGTCCCTGCTACAAATGCTGTTTTAAGGCTAGCGCTCATACCTCCTACTTACTTTTATTATTCTTAGATAAACAATGAACTCCAAGATAGTGTCCACATAATTAATGAAATTTAGTTCTATAAAAACTTGTTTAGGGCTGAACATTTCTAAGTAAGGTACATTCTGCTGAAGCGTGAAGGAATTGTCAGTCAATAGATTAATAATTTCTGTCCCTAAATCCTTGTGATAGTTGAAACAGCCAGTAAAATTCAAGTAGGGTAATACAAGAATACCATGATGAAGTAAGAATATGATCTTCATCAGACATTTGTCAGTCTTTGTAGAAGATGACATATATTTGAATAGATAAGTGAGTACATTACAGAATTCAATAAGAAACATGACAGAAGTTGAATGGTGATGTTCTCCTGACAAATGTTAGAACACTTTAAAATGACAGAACTAAATAGTATGCAAATTTAATATAACCAATATGAAATTGCTTTGTGAAGAGATTATAAAATAAATGCTAACATTATGCAGTTTAACAGCATTACAAAATAGTTGTAGCTAACATTTTAATAGATTGCAAACATTTATTATTTTCAAGCACAGCATTAAGTGGTTTTCAAACTGATTTCCTATGCAAAATAAAGCTATTTATTCTTGACCAAATTATTTCTTATGTAACCACCTCTACTATATAAATGAAACAAACAAATAAACAAACAAACCAGAGTTTAGACTGCCCATATTACGGATAACACTACAATAAACTTATAACAGCTTTTGGCAAAATCACCAGAGTTGAAATATAGCTGTTTCTAAGGGCCAATACAAACATGAACTTTTCTTATATGTAGCTGCTGGAGGTTTGTGCTGGTGGAAGGGTGAATTTAGCTTCCCCCAACATCTGCCCAATATAAATCATTCTACTGAAGCTGTAATTAGCCTTACTGAGGTACACAATAAGGCACCTTTTTACTGCACTGGGGCAAATAGTGGCTTCAGAGGCATGTATGACTTGGACTGGGAAACATGCTGGTAACAGTTAAATTCCCTCCCCAAGAACCACTGTTCTAATCTAATAGATCACAGTTAATTTGTAAGGTAAAATCAAAACTTCAGATCTTCCATGTCTCATCTTTCTTGCACCCTAAGAGTATCATGCCCTGACCTGGATAGCCTGATCTCGTCAGATGTCAGAAGCTAAGCAGGGTCAGCCCTGGTTAGCATTCAGATGGGAGACCACCAGGGAAGTCCAGGATCATGATGCAGAGGTGTCTCTTGCTTCCTACAGAGTTGCCATAAGTCAGTTACTTGATGGGGTGGTGAAAAAAGAATATCATGACAGATCAAAAACCACAGGGTTGGATCCACTGATGCATAAATTGAAAGAGATTTAGCGGTTCTGCTTGCACAAAAGCATGTGCAGCACCTTCCACTCTCCTCCCTATATATTATAGTGCCCAGAAATTGGTAGCAAACATAAATTTTGTGCTGGATCTGACACACTAGTTTGAATAATAAAGTCTAATGATCTAAATACATATTAATTCCTTCTTAAATAGCCACAGCTATGAAACTGATCTACCTTCAATACATGGTCTATGATAAAAAGCAAATATTCAGGCATGGAAAGTATGTCAGTAATTAAACGTATACAATTTTCTTTAGCTTAGTGTATGTCCTTATGTCGATTTACGACATTCAGCCCACTATTTATCCACTAATATTTAAGTAGTGGAACGTGACAACCCTGAATAATGTATTTGTATTTCCACAGTGATACTATTACAAATTATAGATAGCATCGATACTTACTGGAACTTCTCAGCAAAATTTTTACTAAGAGACAATCATGATGTAGCAGTGTTTCCAAAAGCAAGTTCCAATTACAATACGGTTGGGATAAGAGCAGTTTCAATTGACCCCAAGCTGCCATTTCTCTGGCTGATGGAGTCCTTTCAAAATGTAAGATAAAGACAGAATAATGTAGTTAATTTATCTATGAAATTAATAGCCTTAAAGTGCAGATGTAATGCTAACTCCTTTAAATGTCAATTCCTCCCAGATTACTCTGAAAATGCTTTCATGGTTGCTTACTTTAAGGCTGCTCAGGGAAGGAATTACATTTAATCTCAACTAGCTAAAAGCAAATTAACATTTGGTAGACTGCCAAATTTATAACTGATACAAAGTAACCTCACTTATCTCTTTCATTGGGACCATGTATACTCTTGTTTCATGAGGCAAAAATGATTTTAATGCCTGAATAAATTTGACGCATTATATTTTTAATTCAGTGTTATATTTAATTGTTTAGAATGATGTTATAAAATATTTGAAATCAAGTCCATAAAATGAATAAGTAACAAATAGAGAAAAAGAATATGTTAAGACCCACTAGTCACACTACAATTAAGGAAGAATAATAGGATCAAAAGATATGTTCAGTCTATAAAACAGAAACACCTAGTGGGTTTGACCTGGAAATGGCTAGCTAAAGACCAGTGCTAGAAACTGTACCACATACTTGAGTTACCTGCTGTTCAATGTACTTCGTAAAAGCTCATTTTGGTTCTAACATATTAACAAGGTTATCCCCTGGAATATGGAGCTAAAGAGAAATTATTATGTGGTATCCATACTAGCTAGTCTGACTACAAAAAATTCCAAACTGTTCTATCCGCCACGACCTTCCCGCTACAGTTGATACAGTGAATTAACTCAAGGCTCCAAGCACATCTTCTAGACATATTATGGATTATTTCAGCCCACTCAGCCTAGAGGAAGTCAACAAATTGCTCCTAACTGTACGCCCTACCACATGCTCCCTTGATCCATGCCCTTCGTGGCTAATTAAAGCTGGTCACGAGGGGTTTCAAGGTGCCTTGTGGGAGATTATCAACAAGTCCCTCTCAGAGGGGCTGTTCCCAAAGGGACTTACAGACGCAGTGGTGTGCCCTCTTCTGAAAAAGTCATCCTTGAATCTTGCCAAATTGGCTATTGGCCAGTTTCAACTTGCCCTATTTGGGCAAGATAATAGAAAGGGCAGTGGCAACTCAGTTACAGAGCTTTTTGGATGACGCTTCCATTCTAGACCCCTTCCAGTCTGGTTTTCGCCCGGGTCATGGGACGGAGACGGCACTGGTCGTCCTCACAGACAACTTCCGGAGGCATCTGGATCAGGGTGGATTGGCAGTGCTGTTGTTGTTAGACCTGTCGGCTGCATTCGACACGGTCAACCATCAGCTACTGATCCACTGCCTTGCTGACATTGGAGTCCAATGACTAGCCTTGCAGTGGCTTGTTTCCTTTCTCCAAGACTGGGGACAAAGAGTGGTGCTAGGGCAGGGGTGGCCAAACTCGCTTAACGTAAGAGCCACATAGAATAAAACGTCAGATGTTTGAGAGCCGCAAGGCATGAACAAACATTACACGTTTTTACTTGGAAATATGCAGGTTTGCTTTTTATTAACATTAAACTAGACTGCCAGAAATAATAACAAAAGTGGTAAAAGCAGATATTGACAATGATATTTATTTGTGCAATGATATTTGTCTGTTAATGATACTTAGCTTCCCCAGCCACCCTGCCGGGAGCCGCACAATATGTCTGAAAGAGCCGCATGCGGCTCCTGAGCCACAGTTTGGCTACCCCTGTGCTAGGGGATCAGCTGTCCCAAAGGCATCCACTGGAATGTGGAGTGCCTCAAGGAGCAGTGTTGTTCCCGATGCTTTTCAACATCTATATGTGCCCTCTTGCCCAGATTGCCCGGAGACATGGACTGGGCTGTCACCAGTACGTGGATGTCACCCAGCTCTATCTAATGTTGGGCGGCCAGTCCGACTCCAAACCAGAAGATCTAGACCAGGTGTTACAAGCTGTGGCTGGCTGGCTTAGGTTGAGCTGGCTGAAATTGAATTCAATGAAGGTGGAGGTCCTGTGCCTAAGCCGGAGCGGTCCGAGGGTCTGGATCCCGCTCCCGACCTTCGATGGGGCACCATTGGGTCCAGCGCCAGAGGTTAGGAGTCTGGGAGTGCTTCTAGATGCTTCCTTAACAATGGAGGCCCAGGTAGCAGCCACTGCCAAGTCAGCCTTTTACCATCTTTGGCTGTTTAGCAGTTGGTTCCCTTCCTCGAATGCAACGACCTGGAAAAAGTGACCCACGTGATGGTCACCTCGAGATTGAATTACTATGGAGACAGCAGGGGGCAGCAGCGTGCTGTCGCAGGCGTTCGTTCGGGTTGCTCCTGATCAACCCCATTCTTCCTTGTCTTTTGGGGGCTCCCCGGGGTCCCTGGGACCTTTGTTGGGCTTCACCAGACCTCCTGGAGGGAGGCTGGGAGCAGGAGACTTGCTTGGATACCCCGTGAGTAGCAACGAATGAGGGTGGAGGAGAATGTTTCAATGCGGAGACAGGGAATGGCGCAATCATGGCCACCATGAATTGCAAAGATGCAACCGCCCTTTTTAGAGACTAATGAATTAATACAAAACATGATATGCAACAAAACAAGGAAAAACAAGGAATTAAATGTGAGTACAAATTCAAACTGTAAAATCTGTCATTTAGTATTATAAAACCCCTTGAATGACCCCCATTATTGGAAGAATGGCTGGGAAGAGAAACGGGGAGTAAAAAGCACTTAAAAACTATCAGTGGGGTAAAAGGTGAAATTAAGAAAATGGCATTTGAAATGGAGGAAACGGAGGAAGAGCAAAATACACCAATCATGCGATTAACCTGTGAGCTGTTTAAAAAACTTTTATGTGATGAAACTGAACAAGCACTTAAGACGGCATTCGAGAATCTCCGGGAGAGACCACTGGATCTTGTTTTAAAGGAGAAGGATGAGGAAGAGCTTTTATTATCGCAGCAATGTAACCAAGAAAATTTACCACAAGATATTGTGACTCAATCTATAATGGGACGTGAGAGCCAAATTAATCAAGTGGTTAGTACAAATCTGGAGTTAGAAACAGAAAAAGGAGGCTACCAAGATTCACTACATAATAAACCGACCAGGAGGGCTAAATGGAACACGGGGAAAAATACAAGGAAAAACGCCAAACATATCAGAGCCAAGAAAGGACAGAATGCTAATGGAAAGACATATCTTACAAACACGTTGGAAGTAAAAGGACAAGAGCTAAAAGTGGAACTTCACCTTTACAAAGAACTAAGACGTTTAAATATGGTTCTGGCAAAAAAGAAGCTATTGAAAAATACAAGGAAATATATAAGGAAAAATACCAAAAATATCAGAGCCAAGAAAAGACATAAAGCTAATGGAATGACATATTCTACAAGCACATAGGAAATAAAAGGGCAAGAGTTAAAAATGGAATCTCACCTTTACAAGGATTTAAGACATGTAAGTATGGTTCTGGCAAAAAAGAAGTTTCAGAAAATCAGGGAAAGAAAAATGCAATATGATTTGAATTTTGGATTATGTTTTTTAAATTTCTGGGAGTAATGATGAGTGGCTGGGAAACATATCCGTGTCATTGGATGGTTTATTTAATTTTCTTAAGGATTTTGTTAAACACTGAACGTAAGTAAATTTGAGTCAGATTCAAATAATTACACTAGTTATATTAGTTTAAACAGATGTTAAGCTGCAAAATAAGAAATAACGAAATAAGGAATTAGAATACAGCTATAATTTAAGTTGGAACCTTAGATAATGGTTTTGTTAACTGTTTTTGAGTAATGATGAATAGTTGAGAAATATATTGAGGTTATATGAAGGCTGACTTAAATTTTTTATTTGGATACTGTTTAATACTGAAAGTAAATTTGAGTTGGACTTTAATAATAGTATTAACAAATGTATTAGTTATATTAGTTTAAACAGATTTCAGGATGAAAAATAAGAAGATTGGATACCAGTGAGGTGATTATGGTATAAGAATAGGTGCCTTATTTGGTAAAGTATTAGGTATACATTTTGGTAGAGTCATAAAGGAGTTGAAAATTAGATTAATTGAAAAAAAACAATATATAGGCGTATAGGCGCTGGTGTTGGTTTCCATTTTGGAATCTAGAAAATGATAACAGAAGCAATAAATAAGAGTATAAAGTAACAGCAGCTAAAAATTATGAGGAGACTTGATATGTCGGGTATTAATTTAGGGAAAATAAATAATTCTCTTTGTGTAAGGTTTTTGAGATTAAATAATAAGTAAATGGTTTAGGTGTGATAGAAGAAGATATGTTTGCAAAATTAATTGTTTCAAAGTCAGATTAAAGGGATGAATTTATTGGAGAAACTTGGAAATTAGTGATGTATGGACGAGAAAACGAAATTAAGTCGAATTTTGTATGCTATGTTTTGTGAGAATATTTTGGAGAAGCTAAGATGAATATGTCTCTTTGTGTATATGTCTTGTTATTTTTTTGTGTTTAAAAAACCAATAAATATATTATTAAAAGAGAGAGAGAGAGAGATTGGATTACTATAATGCCCTCTACATGGGGCTGCCCTTGTCTCAAATCCAGAAGCTGCAGCTAGCACAAAATGCCGCAGCCAGGCTTTTGATGGGACTCCTTATTTGGGAACACCTCCAACCTGTGCTAAAGACATTGCACTGGCTGCCTATAGCATACTGGATTCATTTCAAGGTGCTGGTTATTACCTTTAATGCCCTTTATGGCCAGAAACCTACATACCTGAGGGACCACCTTTCCCCATATGTACCCCAGAGAGCACTGCAATCAGGGACCCAGAACCGGCTGGTCCTTCTGAGCATCAAGGAGGCTAGGTTAGAAACGCGTTTGGTCTTCAGTAGGATACTTAGATAAAGATTTTTATCAGTATATGTTTTAACATGTGTACACCCTAATAAATATTTGTACTTTTATAATATACGTTGTTCGCTTAGCCCTTTGGTTCGCAGTCTTATCTTGGGTTGAGCCCCCCCCCCCTTTCCAGTTTTAGTAAATACTAGGGCCAG